AACTTGACGTTAGTTTAACTCAATTCATTAAGAATTGCGCCTTTGGAGTATTTTTTATATTCGTTAAATACAAATCAAATCTAATCAGTAATAGTTATAACAAGATAACAATAAAAAGAATAATAATTACTATTATGATCAAAATATCATAATAATACAATAATAGTGATAAAGAAAATACTGATAAAAATATATCAGTTTAAAAAAGGTAAATTAACAAATTTAATAAAAGATATTGTATAATAATCAATGAATGGAATATATTCTCATGCTTCAACAAGTTCAGACCTTTTATTTGGATTTGTTCCATTTATTTTACATTCGATTTCTTTTTCTTTAAAAAGTTTTTTTCAATTTTTTTTTCTATTGCGTAAAATTTTTAGAAAATTCTATCATTCAGACACGTTTCAATATTTAATATATAACATAAAAAAGATGAAAAAAATTCTTGAAATATTTTTGCAGATATTTATTTAACAACTAACAACTAAGTAATCTTTGCTTTTACGTTAACACAGCTAACTTAAAAATTGGTTAGACTTATTGCTTATTAAGTTGTAGCATATATTTGGTTTTAGTTTTAGACTAAAAGTTTTAGTTGAATAGCAACTTTAAATTGACGACGCAAACAAAAAATAATATGAAAACTATCGTAATTATCGAAGACTTCTCACAAGTTGCCTATGTGTAAAGCAAGAAGATAAATAAATATTTGAAACAGGTGCTTCTGTTGCTAAAGTCATATTTCACTTAAACTCTTCTACGGCTTGTTGTTCAGAAAAAATTCCTGTCATAGTCCTCTTCAATTCTCTCTAAATTATTTAATAAATGCTTGACTGAATCTTAATCTTGTTTTCTTGCCTGATGGAGAATGGTACCTTGGGTTCCAATTTTTGAGAACATTCTGACCTCTCCAACTATCGTTCAATCAGTCATCTATCTATTATTAGCGAGGTTTTTGAGTCTTTGATTAACAAATTTTAACATCCCATCTTGAGTCCAATAACTTACTGTCAGACAATCAAAATGGTTTTCAATTTTTTCGTTCTACGGCTGACTAGCTAACTGCTGTGAGTAAAAGATTCTGTTGTGCATTAGATGAAGGCAGCGACGCAAGAGCTATTGCTCATGACATATCTAAAACTTTCGATAAAGTTTTGCACGCAGGTCTTCTCCATAAGCTTGTTTCATACGGTGTACCTGGAAAAGTTTTTGAGATCATCAAATCATTTCTTTCTGACCACTTTACCAAAGCATAGTCATAAGAATAAATCTATTTTTATTTTATACTTGTTTATTTCTTGTGATTATGATTAAAGTCATTCTAGTAGGCCAACACGTTTCTTCATTTCCAGTAATTTCTGCGGTACCTCAAGGTTCTGGGATACCTCAAGGTTCCTATTTTGTTTCTTATCTAAACTAATGATCTTCCTGAAAACCTTTGACAACCTGGCCTAACTTTATATTCCTGTTTTGACAAAAAGTCTTCTTTTAGTGATTGCTCAGTAAAGATAACCGATGTTGATTCTGAACTTTTTTCTGTAACAGCTTGGGGCTTGCAATGGCTTGTGAATTTTAATTTCTACAAAACTCAATCATTTACTGCAAACAACTATCGCAACGCTGTCGATAAATCTATATTAATGAAATGAAACTTTGATCTCAATAAAGTCCATAGTCTCTCCTACGTTAGTACAGCCTAACGACGTTATTTAACGTTACCCTAAAAGTTGGTGTGCCCACTGGATAGTTGTTATAAAATTCTAAAGTCTTCATACGTATAACTATGTTATAACTAACGATATATTTACCATCAAATAAGATATTTAAGTAGTTAATATATATTTATATATATTATTTGTTAGTTAGTTGTTAATATATATTTATATATATAAAAAGAGTATGAAAATGTTTTCATCAATCCAGACTTAACAGAAACAGAAAGATATAAATCCAAGTTATTGAGACAAGAATGTAGAGAAAAAAATAATGCAAACGAAGAGAGAGAAATTTTTTATTATGGTATCTGAAAAGACAAATTAATAAAAATAAGAAGATAGCAACCAAAAAAAGTTAAAAACTTAATTAACAAACATGGTGGGATGATTGTTATTCTAAGATTATTCAAGGATATTCACTGTTTGAACGAGAAAGAACTTATGGCAAAGGCGGTGGTGTTTGCATATATGTGAAAGACTCAATAAAATCTTTTGATGTTTCAAATAGTGTGCTGCAAAGCCAACAATGAGAAAAAAAAAATGTGTAACATAAAAGTTGAAAATGAGTCAATACTAAGTGGCTGCATTTATCGTCCAGGAATAAGTGACACTCAAGTTTGTATGAAAGTTACAACATGAATCAAAGTAGCATATGAAATGATATCCAATAAAACATATAATGGGATTCTTTGAAATGGTGATTTTACCTGAGCAAAAATAGATTAAAGTAAGAAATTTTTTGCCTATCTGCAAGAACCAAATGAAATTGCTAGTATGTTTATAGGCTGCTTGAACGAATGTTATTTATTTTAAAATATAAACAAGTCAATGTTTCAATTGGATGATAAAATTAAAACTAATGTCTTGGATTTAGTATTAACCGAAAATAATTTGCGAATATATAAACTCAAACATCATCCATCGTTTAATACATTAATAGTTATGACTAATCAAGGATATACAAAAATTTGAACGCTAATGAGTGTTACGAAAAACAGTTAGAACATAACAAAAACATTTGTAATGTAAATATACCGTTAACTAAATCAAATAAAAAAATAAGAGCACCTTGGTTTAATTAAAGTCTATCGGAAATAATTAAGGCAAAAAAAGTTTTATGGATAAAATGTAGAAATGCAAAATTTAGAGATCAAGAACTCTAAGCAAAATATAAAAATATAAAAAACACAACGAAAAAGGCTATTTAAAATGAAGTTGTTAAATATGAGCACACAATAGTGAAAAATGCTAAGAAGAATTCCGAAATTTTTTACCAACATATAAATAATAAAACACAAACTAAAGATTATATTCGAGCAATTGAGAATAACAATGGAATAGTTACTGCCAACCTTTCAAGATTGCTAACAAACTAAACAATTTTTTCAGCTCAATTTTTACTGTTGAAGATAAAAACCTCCCAGAGTTTTCAAAACAGTGCGATGTTTTATGCCCAAATCCTGCATTCGACAATGAAACAGTTAGTAAGAAGCTTGCAACTCTGAATGTTTATAAATCAACTGGAGTAGACACAATACACCCTAGAGTTTTAAAAGAATGTTGCAAAAGTATTTCAAAATCACTATCAATTATTTTTGATCGCTCATTTTCGAGTGATATGATTCCATGTTTATGGTTATGTGCAAATATTACCCCTCTGTTTAAAAAAGGAGATAACTAAAAGTAACAAATTATAGGCCGGTATCACTCACATAAATAGTGTGCAAAGTGATGGAAAGCATAATTAAAGATACACTAATGAATCATCTGATTAAAAATAGTATACTCTCCAACTATCAACATGGTTTTATATTATCCAAAAGTTGTTGCACAAATTTACTTGAAACATTTGACATAATAACTCAAGCACTTGAGGAAATTTTATCAGTAGATGTAGCATTTTTAGACTTTGTTAAAGCCTTTGACTCAGTTGCACATAAGAAACTATTATTAAAATTACAATCCTATGGAGTCCAAGAACAATTATTATGTTGGTTAAAAGTTTTCTAAGCAGACGAACACAAACAGTGGTTCTTGGTGAGATAACCTCTGAGTGGAAAAAAGTAATAAATGGAGTACCACAAGGATCAGTGACTAGACCGCTTTTATTTGTCATATATATAAATGGTTTAACAAGTGAGATAACCAATCAATAACAAGTGAGATAAGTAATCAATGCAAATTATATGCAGATGACAAAAATATTATTTCAGTCAATAAGACAGTCGAACGTTACAGCAAGACTTATGTAAGCTGGATAAATGGAGTAAAAAATGGCAAATCAACTTCAATTTAGAAAAATGCAAAATTATGCATATCGGTAAAAGAAATTTAAAACATAATTACTAAATGCGTAATACATTCGATATGATTTAGCAAAATGCTTAAGTTTTGGAAGAAACCACGATAGAGAGTGATCTTGGTGTAATGATATCAAACGACGTCAAATGAGAAAAGCATATCAACACAATTGCGGCAAGAGCTCATAGAAAGCTCGGTTAGGTAAATAAATCTTTTTGTCGATTAGATGAAATTTCAATAAATCATTTGTACGCGTCTTTGGTTCGTCCACACCTGGAGTTTGCGGTGCCAGTATGGAACCCTTACTACCAAAAGGATATTGATAAAATTGAAAATTTACAATGTAGGGCTACACGAATAAGTAGTTTAAAAAGTTTTTGCTATGAAGATAGACTGACAAAAATTAAGTACTTCAAAAACAAGAAGAGAAAGAGACGATTTGCTTCAATTTTATAAAATAAGTAAAAATATAGATAAAGTTAAATGGAATCATCCTCCTAAAATAATTAAATATGCAATAAAAAGAGGTCATACTCAAAAAATACAAAAACAGTTCATACACTCTACCACAAGATTTAACTTCCTTACAAACAGAAGAGTTAACAATTGGAATAATTTAACAGAGGAGATAATTAATTCTGAAAGTGCGAACATTTTCAAAAACAAATTGATTCGAAAAAACAAAATAAAAATATAAAACAAACAAAACAAAATGTAATAATAAAATATATAAAGAAAAAAAAACAAAAAAAAAACATTTTTGCAACGGCTGTCAAAGTTTTAACATCTACATATGTTAGACTCACATATTGTAAGTGTACAGCAAAATAAAAAATAATTTATTATTATTATCATTATTATTAATATCAATTTAAATTGAGTCTTAATAAATTATCAAAACTTTTTATTTAATTATTTAAACATATTTTTATATTATTCGGTGACGTCACCAAATAATTTATAAAAGAGTTTTATTAATTT